ACAAACCAAAGCCCCTCTGACAGAGTGTTGTGTATAGCAGGAAGCAGTGACATGAAGAAACCAAGGAGGCAGCAACATTTGGATTGCCAGGAGATCATGGAATCCCAGCCTAGTTTGTGTTGGAAGGGACCTTAAAGCTCCTCCAGTTCCAACCCCCTGCCAGGGGCAGGGACACCTTCCACTAGAGCAGGTTGCTCAAGATCAGTGAGATCAGTGGAGCTTCAGGGGGAGAAATCAAGGCACGGAGGGGATAAGAACCTTGTCTGTGGCCCCACAGAGACTGAGGGTGGAATTCTTTTGTCTCATGACCCTGAGACACAAAAGACGTGCATCCATCCTCTTGTGCAATCCTGTGGCGTCAGCAGTTCCCCATAAACTGCGCTTCCCAGGCTTGTTCAGTACATCAGAGATGCCGGCAGGATCACTGGATGTATGGAGGTGGAGCATGAGCATGAAGCCTGGCAGCATCCAGAGCCATCCCTGGCACACTGGCATGGAGCAGTAGACTGTGACTGGCTGTCCCCTTGGCTTTGTGGTCCATCTCTTGCACAGCCTCGGATGCTGATGTTGAGCACCTTGAGTTACCTCTCCCTCCTCTACAAATGGGGCAGCTTTTCAGTGTCCCCATAGCGAGAGATTTGGCTGGGAATAAACTGCTCTGGGAAAGGGTTTTCTTGCTTCCAGTGCTCCTCTGGAAGCATTCACAAAGGAAAGAGGAAGGACAGGGCAGAAGAAAAGAGCACGAGGGCCGGCACAGGTTGCTCAGCACGGCTGTGTCACAGCCCTGTCACAAATGTGCCCTTGGGGCTGAGGGAAGTGGCAGGAACTGAATGAGCAGCAGCCTCTCTTCACAGCCTCCCCAGCAGCTCCTTGCACCAGCTTCAGGCACGGCTGAGGCTTCAGGCTCAGGCAGGAGTTCCTTTCCTCATTTCTCTTCCTTTGGGGCCCTGTTTAGATGTGGCAACATAAACAGCCCTCAGGATACGTCTGAAAGGCTGACCTCAGAGGAGGTGGCAGAGCAAGCAGTGCCATGGTAAGGGTCATGCCCTACCACCAAAATGCCTGCTGTTTGTATAGGGACCTGGATGCCCAGAGAAGTATTCAGAATATGTAGGTAAAGCTAACACTTTTATACCATCATAGCAACTCTATAAAGTAGGGAATCACCTTATCTCCATTGGAAAACCAAGGCAAGAGGAGACAAGGTGCCACGATGGCACATAGGCACTTGGGTGCCCAGTAATGCTTGACACCTAATGACTGTAGTAGATCTGAATGGAGAGGTTATGGAAAGGCACTCAGGGAGTCTGTGCCTCAGTTTCCCCACCCCTGCTCTGTTTGTGTTAGTGCATTTCCTATCAGACAGCGGTGTTTCAAAGTCATCATTAACTGTTGTTCATGAATAATGCAGGAATTATGGGATGAAAGGCTCCACAGCAGGGCAAAGTACCACTCTTACCCAGGACACTTGCTTATCTGCATACTTCCAAGTCCCTCAAAGCCACATCTTACTGAGCATGCACCAAGTATGCTTTAATATGAGATCACTGGTAAATTATTAATCATAACATACATCCTGCAGCCTGCCAGAAACAATCCTTCACGTCACTAGGTTGTGTCTGTAGTGAATAGCAGGGGGGGTGTGAGGCTTCTCTGCTTGTGCTATTAAGTGAATGATAGCTGGAAACATTCAAATCAACAAGATTTAAGGGCTGTTCCTCCCTTTATGAGTATGTCTGAGAGCAGCTTTAGCTTGTCTGCTACAGATTATATTTGGTGAAGCACTGAACAGTGTCAGGAAGCTACCAGTGTTCTACATATCGAGTGCTAAAGTAAGAAATAGCATGAAACTTTGCATTGAGTTAGGCTGTTTGCAGCAGCACAGTGTGATAGTCTCTGCCTGCAGAGATGCTTCTCACGAGCTGCTGTGCACTTTCAAGCTGAAATCTGTCTCTTGATGTCAATACTGACTTTTGGACTGTCTTTGGTTCTTGTTCCTGGCCTGGATTTGGATTGAGAAGTGACTCATGGTCAGAGTGAGATGTGGCTGGTGGAGAGAAGGTGCTGGAGTCATCCCTGCTGGGATAGTAGTGGCAAGAGGGGCTGGAGTGTGATGCTGACAGAGCAATGCATTGACAGGCGGCCCATGTGTGATGTGCTGAGTGTAACAGCTCTGGCCAGCTCTTTACTTATTGATGCTGCAACTGGTGCCCTTATCTGCTCTGCTCATCGTGTGTCTCACATACCTAGGTCCTCTGCTGAATCCCCTTATCGTGTTCTGCCCCACTGAGTCAGAGCTGAAGCAGTGGCTTTATCACCTGGAGAAACAGATCCAGCTAAACGGAGGAAGCCTTGGCTTGCCCTTCCTCTCTCAGGTTAGTGCCACTTGGGTGGATGTTGTATTGCTCCTGCTGCATTTAGTGGGAGGGATAATGTCTGCAGCCTCTGGAATGTTCTGCCTGGGGAGGAAATGTGTATTTGTGTTCAGATGGCCTGGGGGTCCTAGGTCTGTGCCATCAGCACCAGAGTGTGGTGGGATTTCAGTCTGAACGGCAACCCCACGGATGCTGTGTACCTCTGAGCCCTGACAACAGCTTGCTGCATGTCTGTGCACACACATAGCTTCTAATTGAGGAGCCTGGCCTTTGTGCAGCCTCCTGTGAGGCTGAGAGTGCAAAAAGGAAGGTTTTGCAATCGGGCCAGGCAGGGGGTGTGTGTGGAAAGGGAGACCTGTGACCCTGAGGTGCCACCACCACAGCCCCTCAAGGGTCAGAGGTTTGGGGCTGGTTCAGAGAAGTTCTCACACAGTTGGCTGCTTGTGCAATGATCCAGAGTTTACAAAACATTTGGAGGAGGAGAAGACTGGGACCAGGACCTGGAAAACCAGACTCCAGAGACTTGTCTTCTCTTCCAGTCTCTGCAGGGTGTTTTACTTCCCTCCCTGTCTCCATCTCCCCACTTGTAAAACAGAGGTGTTCCCGTGAAAGGCAAGGTACAGATGATGCCAGGTACCAAGTATTCAGTCCCAGTGGGAAAACTGGCTCCTGCACAGATTTATTTACTGTTTCCTGCTTCTACCACGCTTGAAAAGTGTCCTGAGATGTGCTGTGTGCTGCCTAAACTCTTAGGGGAGGACATGTCTACCCTGCTTCTCAGTTCTGCTCCTGTCCCTAGAATGACTGGAAGCAGAGCTCCATGGGGAAGGAGGAGCTACGCTGGTCCGTGCAGAACATGCCTGTCCAGGAGTGGAGAGGGACCCAGCGGGAATCCTTAGGCAATGTCCTTTGTGTTTCCAAGGTGAAGCTTCAGCATCTGCCTTTCCAGGTAGGACACATCCCTGGGGAGCTACCTCCTGTCAGGAAGGCTTGGAATGAAGTGACAAGTGCAAGGCTCCTGCCTACCTGCTGCCACTAATCCAATACATCCCTGAAGGGTCATTTTACCTGTATCTTGGTGCATGCAAAAAGGGGTTTTGTGGCTCCTGTGTCTCCAGCTTGGGGACAGCACATGCATAAAAGCATTGGCAGGACAGGGCTGGCAGCTGGAGCTGTCAGGGATCTCCATGGAGCCCCTGTTTCCAAAGCCCTTGCCTCAGGGTGCTGTCAGACAGACAAAGTGAAGGGCTCCCCGGACCTGAGCCCTGCCTGGCTGTTCACAGGGAACCCTCTTCCTCTTTACTTTCCAAGGAGCAGCATGACCGGCTGCTGGTGCTTTACCCGTCCACACTGGTGATAGTATCTGAAGAGCACAACAGCCTCTGTTTTAAGGTAAGCTCAGCACCTCCCTGCTCTCCCTCACCCATCCACAGCAGCTCTTTCAGCACCTCTTTGCCTTGTTGCTCCTTCTCCACCTGGTTTCCCTTGTGCTCCCTGTGTTGGCAAGGGCTTTTCCTCCATGCTGCTCCCTTGCCAGCAGGCAGAGGGATGTTGCAAGCTATCTTCCCATGAGAAACACCTTGCCCTCCTACAAAAGCCCAGGGGGGAAGGAGCTGGCTGCCAAGGAATCTTGAGTCTCTGGGAGGAGGGAGGCTGGCATGTTTCTGTGTGGTTATGCTGGCACAGAGCCTGGCTTGCTTGCTTGAGACAGGATCTGGAACAGCCCCAGAGAGTATCCCAGCAGGGGGGCTTGCTTCCCAGGCCCTGCTCTGTGGGACCACTTGGAAGCAGGTAGCATCCAGATGCTCCTGGGGAAGGACAAAGGCATTAGTTGGCTGGTGGGCAGAGAGGAGAGGCTGCTGCTGGCACTGTGGGACCTGGGCAATGTCTGGCACACACCAGTGGAAGGGCCAGCAAGGATGTGGAGGTCTGAGTGCCCATGGGGATGTGAGAGGAGCTTCTCTAGCGCACTGCTGTGTCTTTGCTTGTGGGAGCAGCGCTGGGATCCTCAGCACAGACAGCACTGTGGGCCTGGGAGCTGCATTCGCATTGCCTGCAGTCTGAATAGCCCCGAAAGGTGAAATCCATCTCAGACATCACTGCAATGGCTGTTAAACAGCCCTGTGCTTTCTGGCTCTGAACTGTGTGTGAACCTGCATGTGCAGCATCCTTCCTAGTCACTGGAGATGAGGCAGTGACAAGAAAACCCTGCAGAGTCTAAGGGCTTGTGAAACGCAGTGTGAACTCACTGGGGTCCTTCTTCACATGATTTCACCATGTCCACATTAGGCCCCGAGCCACGCAGGCTGCTTTTAACTCAAGGAAAGACTGCATAGAGTGTCTCCCCGGCCAGAGGAGATGCTGTGCGGGCAGCAGGAAGGGGTGTGAGGGGGGACATACACCAGTGAGAGCTCTCCTCCATCCCTATGCAACACTGGAGGGTGTTCTCCAGCAGCCGGTGGCTTATGTGACACACCTCAGAGCTTGTTTTTGGGAACATGTTTGTAGCTCCTGAGAATGGAACATACGTAAGGGGGCTTTGGGCTGGGCTTTCTGATGAACACATCTCTTTTGAAAGCTTAAGCCAGGTTTGTCTGCCTTGGCCATGCAATGTTCCCTTCCCACGGTGCTGGGGTAATGGCAGGGCTCATGCACAGCCCAGTGCAGCCAGGGGCTGATTCACCAGCCTGTGACACTGTGCTGGGAACCTGATTTTCCACAGGCAAGTCAAGGCACAGGAGCCTTCCTTCTCCCAGGGCTTCTGCAAATGAACTTCCCTTCCCTGCGAGCAGACGCTGAGCCCTGCAATTTGTGTGTGAAGGAAGAACCCGGCCCTTTTGTTCTCCAGTTTCATACAACCCACAGGAGCTGCTGCTGCCAAGTGCTGTGTGTGGGACAGGGAAGGGGAAGGCAGGGGCTGAGCCTGCCAGGATGGGGCTCACCCACAGCAGCTCTGGCTCACTGCTGGTGGGAAAAGGCCCTGGGCAAGGCAGAAATCAGCAAGAGGGGAGCTGCTGGCGAGGGGAAAGTTCATGTCATGGCCAGGGAAGGCTGCAGGGGCTCTCTGCGGCTGATGTGTGTTATTTGAGGGATGCTGCTGTGCTTCCATAGGTGGGACTGTAGCTCCCATGGACAGGGGGCTGTTGCCTTAGGGAGGATGGAGCATAGGGTGCCTGGGGGAAGCCCTATGCAGTTGTTCTTGGTGGCAGGAGAGCTTGCTCCAATGTGCTAGAGCTGAGGAGCAGCAGGAGCAGGCACCACAGGACCCCTCCACATGCAGCCTTGCAGCATCTGTATGACCTGAAGTGTTGAGGCCAGGTTGGACACAGGGACTTGGCACAACCTGCTCTAGTGGAAGGTGTCCCTGCTGGTTGGACCTGGATGAGCTTTAAGCTCCTTTCCAACCCAAACCATTCCATGATTTCTTACAGCAAAAGGGGAGAACAAGTCACAGAGCATTGCCTGGGCTCTCCCTCCCAAGGTCAGCGTTCCTGCACTGCTCAGCCCATAAATCACTTTGGTGCAGGAGAAATAGCAGAGCAGGCTGCGTGTGCCCACAGGCTGCTGCCGGGGCAGCTGGCCAGCATGAACCACAGCGCCTGGTCGAGCTCCACATTTCCCTCATGGCAAAGCTGTCACGTCGTCAGCCACATTCCCCAGAGCCTGTAAGCTTTGCAGCGAGGGCATGAGGAGGAGTTTCTCCTTAGACACCTTGTTTTGCAGCCTGTAAACTCAGGCAAATGAATCCCAAATGACTGCACCTCTTGAGAGGACCTTGAGCTAAAGGCGAGGGCTTTGCTCCTGCTTTTGGTGCTGCTGCCAGGCATGTGGGAGAGTGGTCTGAAGTGGGAACTTTGTTTCCTGAGCACTCCCCAGACCCTGTGTTTGCCATCCCAGCCAGGAGCTGCTCCCAGGGCCATTGGCACCAGCTACCCTTGCCTGGTGTTCCGTGCCCACAGTCAGGGTCAGGTGACGTCCAGGGGAGGTGAACAGGGGCTTAAGGAGCAAAGAAACGATGTGTCACTTGGTTTCCCCTTGCTTAGACAATGAGAGAGTTGAGGGGTAAAGCAATGAGCTCCTCTGTGAGGTGGTTCCAGTGCAAAATCTGCTCCAGCTGCTCTCCCAGGACTGTTCTGGTTTCATTTCCCTAAGGAAAATTCAGCTTGGGGAGCCCCAAAGAAAGAGGACACCCTTGGCCCTTCTGCCAGGTTGCCCTTCATAGGGAATTAAGCTGTCAGCAGTGACACCTAAAGGACTCCCGGCGGCAGCAGGCAGCACAGCAGAAGTCTGGAACAGGCAGTCCTGTTCCTACCAGTCCCACAGAGATCATCGGAGAGCTGGGCCTGGCACAGCAGCAGATATGGGGATGACCATGGGACACCGGGTGATGGCAGAGAGGACAGTGGTGGATGTGCATGCAAAGGTGCTATTGCACTTAGGAGCAATAGCAGATGGCATCTTCTCACTCCAGTTTTGCCAGTGACAGGCTGCTTTTTTCCCTTGCCCTGCTATTAGGAACAGGGATGCAAGTGCAGAGCCCACTGCGATCACAGGAGGGGCATTCACAACTGTGCCCTCCAGCACAAGAGTTCACGTTTCACCAGCTGGCATTTACATACACCCCTGTCTTTGTAAGGCTTTGCAGGGTATGGATTGTGGGCATTCCGGTTTGCAAGGCTGGAAGTCCCATTCCAGCACCTAAACCCTCATTCAGGACCATGTTTGCAGAGTGAAGTCTGTCGTTAAACTATGGGAAGCTGTTGAAAACAGGACTACAAGGGAAGGAATGTTTTTCTTAGCTCATAAGAGACTTTGTAAGGACAGAGCTTACAGAAGTGGCATGTGCAGCCACTTGTGCCGGGGATTCACTTCCTCCTGCTCCCCAATAAGATGGAAAAGCTTTGCAGGAGGCTCCTTTTCCCTCATGGAAAAGCCCTGTGGAAGTGGCGGTTTGCCAGCCAGGTGCCTGCAGAGGCTCCAGCCCTGACGCAGGCACGTTACCCTCCCTGCTGTACAGCATGGGCTGTGATGTGCTCAGCTCTGCCCTCCTGAGCCTGTTCATCTCTCCAACAGGGTGAGCTGCCACTCAACGCCATCCAAGTGCTTTTTGAAGAGAATGAGAAAACCTCCTTTCTAATAGAAGGTGTGTGCTGAGGGGTGTGCTGGGCTGGGCTGGTTTTGCTAAGGAGCTGTGGCCATCCCCTGGGTCAGCAGCCAAGCTCTGTGAACTGAACTCTGAAATCTGGGACCATCTGTGCCCTGGCTTTGCTGGCAGGGAGAGGCTGTGAGGTCCCTCATCTAGGTCTGGGCTGTGGTTGCTCTGTCCCCCATTCAGCCAGGTGGAAAAGGTCAGCACTGGAGATGGAGCATTCCCATCGTCCATGCACCGGGTCTCCAGATCCCGGGAGAATGTGAGGAGGGACAGAGCAAGCAGATTCCCATGGGTTTCTGATCAAGCCCAATAAGAGCAGTGAGTGATGTTTCCACAGGCCGACTGATCAACTCGATCCGGGTGACCTGCCGCAGCTATGAGGATTACCAGGAGTGGCTCTACTGCCTCAAAACAGCCCAGTTCCGGAATGCTGACTCTTCCCTTTCCGGATCAGAGAGTTTCCCGGGATCAAAGCTGCCTCATCCCGGCCAGGTAACATGCTGTGGGGTTGTGTGCGCTAATAAATATATGTCTCCCAGCTATCCTGTCTGTCCTGTCTCTGGCCACAAGTGAGTACTCTGGTGGCACAGCAGACTTTGCTTCAAGTCCCCTGCTTGAAGGCTGTCAGGAAGCTGCAGATCCCTGCAAATTATTTGGAAGCCCTATATTACATTATATAGGCATATATTGTATTAAAATCCTTCAAAACCAGGATAATTGAGTGCCTGTGGAAGGCACATCCCTTGGGAAAAGGCTATTTCTGAGTCTGTGGCTGGTGTTCCCCATACTGCTGAAGTCCTCCCTTCCATTGGAGGTCCTTCCTGACTCTGTCCTGCATCCCCTGAGCTGCCAGTAGGCTTCATCCTACTGCCTTCAGCCTGGCCATAGGTTGTCACAGTGCTGTGTGGTGGGAGATGGGGCTGGGGAGGGATGTGCCTGTGTCCAGAGGGTTGTTCCTGCATGTTCTTCTTCTCCCCCATCTAGTTTGCTGGCAGTGGGAGAGAGTCCCTCACTTCTGATGGCCGCACCAACTCCTGGGCGTCAGGAGGGAGAGTGGCCACCTTAACACACCTCTCCCAGAACAGTGGCTCTCTCCCCGATGGACAGTCCTTCGTGCTTATGCCTGAGAGCAGAGTGCTTGAGGATCCCCTTTCCCATGGCTATTCCCAGCCTCTCCATGTAAGTGAACCCCCAAAAGCATTGGATGTGTGTGGGGACAGGCACTGCCTTTGAGCAGAGTGTCTATCCATGAGCTAGGTGGTCAGTGTTTGCTATGCAGTGGGGCAAATCCATGCCTGGAGCCTGTAGTTGTCCTGGCTTAGCTATGTTACTGCTGATAAGGGAAAAGTCTGCGAGGAATCCCATCCCAAAACTCTGCTCTGCGTTAGGGTTGTGGGTACAGATTGCAAAAGGGCAAACGGGGCTGTCCAGAGGTCAGGAAACCTAAAGTAAAAGCCTGTGGGTGGAGGTGATGGTGTCAGAGCCTTTGTTCTGGTCCTGTGCAGCATACATGTATGCAGGGGCATGCATGGGGAGGAGCACATGGGGCGCAGGCACGGCTGCAGGACCATGCATGAGTGCAGCATGATGCCACAGCAGCAGCCTTAGCAGGGCAGTGCCTTGCACTGGTTGCAGGCAGGTCTGTGTACCCAGGACTGGCTTGAGAAGAGCCATCTCCAGGCTCTGTCTTATTTCAGTGCCTGGCACAGGACCTGCGGAGAGGAGGCAGCGCCAGGAAGTCCAAGGGCAAATGTGGACCCTGTGGCCAGCAACTGCCCAGCCAGGACATGGAGAGGAACATCTGCAGCCTCATTCCTGAGAACCCCAACGGCGAGCTCCTGTCCTTGGTGTACAACGAGCCGTACTCCGCACAGAACTTGCAGCATCACCCCGCAGCTCCCCTGCCACACCTGGACCTCAGCAATGTAAGGGGGCTGCGATAGGGAATCCTACAATGGTTTGGGTTTGAAGGGACCTTAAAGGTCATCTAGTTCCGATCCCCTGCCACAGAGATACCTTCTACAAACCAGGTTGGTCCAAGCCCCAGGTTGGACATGGTGGGGCTGGGAAGGGTCAAGCAGCAGAGGAGCTGGTGCATGGGTTGCACTTTCTTTACAGTGCTGCTTGCAGGGAGAGCTGACCTGGAAGGTGTGAAACCCAGTTCCATTTGAAAATGGTCCATGGGAAGTGAGGTTAAACATGAGAAACAGAGCAACACCTTGAAGCCCTGAGATGCTGGGCACTCATTCCTGAGCCAACACAAGCTTTCCAATGTGTGTCCATTATTGGTATCGTGTGTGATGCCGTGTGAGTGTGCATCTGCCTTGCACCCAGGGAAGTCCCCTTGTCAGCACAGATGGCCACAGTTGGGAGCCAGCCCTGTCATCCCTCATGACTGAGCAGCATTTGGGACTTTAGCTGCAAGGAGATTCCCCACTCTGATCCCTTCTGGGGATGAATTCCAAGTAGGGAACCGCATGTCATGTTTCTGTTTCAATTCTTGCCTTCTAGCTGAACAGATGGAGCTTGGTGGGAAGTCAGCCCTCAACAGCTTCCAGCTCCTTGGAGAAGCCAGCCATGCCCCGCTCCCCCTTGTACACAGACCCCTATACCCCCAGTTCCTCTGGTGCTCGCAGCGTGGCAGGATCCAGCTTCCTGGAGGAGGTAAAGAGGCACCCAGCGTGTCTGCTGCTGGTTATGGTCTTGACTCAGCACACAGGCTTCTGGCTCCAGAACTCACGCCTCAGGCCATTTCTTTTCCTGCTGTCTGCCTGAGCCTGAGCAGGATACGGAAGCTGTGTTTTGGGGTGGGGCAGGTTCTCTGTTTTGTCAATCCAGGACAGAGTCAGAGGGGAACAGGTTTCCCCTGTCTTATCACTGGATACTCACGACAATCCCAGGAAGAGCCAGAAACCACAAAACAAAGGCAGAGACTGAGATGTGATCATCCAGTCTACAGAAACTAGAGATGAGTCAGACACAGAGACCCCTTTATCCACCCCAAAAAACTCCAGCTGTGATAAGTGTCTGTTAAAGGCTACATTTCTAGTTTTACTCCCCTCTCAGGGACATGAGTCTCTGTCCTTCATCCCTTGAGCTACCAGTAGTCTTCCTCCTTGTGCCTTCACACCTGGCCAGCTTCCACCACCTCTGTGGGTCACTGCGAGGGTCCTGCAGCCAATTCTTCCTTTCCCATCTAAGGCTTTCAAGATTGGAATGTAGTAGAATTTGTAAGGTAGGCAGAAAACCTGGCTTTGCCAAGTCTGTTCAGGGCAGGGCTGGCTTACAGGTGGGAAGCAGCAGGTCAGTGCTGCCCAACTGTCCATAGCAAGCATCAAATGTGGAGCGTTTTGGTTCAGTTCCTGCAGTGTCCTGGACAGACGGGCTCAGCACAAGTGAATGCCTGCAGAGACCATCTCTCTCTGCAGAAGAGGAGCTGCCAGCCCCTGCCCAGTCACTGCAGAGAGGTGCCTGTGGCTCCAGGTTACAGCTCCTCATGCCGCCTCCAACTGCAGCCTCCTGATGCTTCTTACCTTGAAGAGGTGAGTTTGTAAATGCAGTCTGAGTGCCCCACACTGCAGGCTGCAGGGGAATACACAGGGGTGCAGGGCTTCCTGCCTTTCTCCAGGCTGGAACAGTGGTCAGTCACTGCAGGGCTCTGAGCTTTTTGCTCTTTGTATCTTGGGGAGCAGGGATGGGGAACCATCCGAGGCCTGATTCCCTGGTGTGTGGTTATCCCAGGACTGCAGTGCTAAGTCATCCTCATCAGTGCTTCTCTTTCATTTCAGATCTCTTCTCTGCAAGAGGAACATCTGGGTCCTTCATTGCAGCTAACAGGTGAGACTCTTGGGAGGCCCATTGGGTGCTGCAGCCCACCCTGCCTCGCCGATGTCTGTCTCCGTAAGGATCATTCAAAGCAGGGCTGATAGGGAGCACAGGGACTCATGAGTGCCCACCCTTCCTCCTGGTTCCTTATGGTTCCTCATGGTGGGACTGAGTCTGTCACCCTGCCCCCTGCCTGTGTCTGTCTGAGGCAGTGATCTTGGCTTCTGCTCACTGCCTACCAGCTCCAGTCATCTGGGGGCTTGTGGTTTGTTCTGTGGCACACTTCAGAGAGTCATCCCAGCCTGGTTTGGGTTGGAAGGGAGCTTAAAGCTCTTCCAGTTCCAACCCCCCGCCACGGGCAGGGACACCTTCCACTAGAGCAGGTTGCTCCAAGCCCCTGTGTCCAACCCAGCCTTGAACACTGCCAGGAACGGGGCAGCTCCCTCAGCCAGTCTCCAGAGCAGAGGTGCCCTCAGAGCATCTCCATGGCCTCCTCTGGACTCGCTCCAACAGCTCCACATCCCTCTTGTGTTGTTGCCCCAGAGCTGGGTGCACACTGTAAGTCTCCCCAGAGCAGAGTAGGGTTGCACAGACACTTCCACTACTTTGCCCACATCTGGTTGCATCTGCACTGTGATTTTGCTGACCCTCGTGTGTCCTCTCTGCTGGCAGAGGAGCAGGCAGCTACTGGGTTGCTTATGAGCTCTCTGAGTGCTTTTCTCTGTTTTGTTGCAGAGAGGGATGCTGGCACCTATGACCTGCCAGAGACCAGCTTCCCACACAGCAACTCCTCAGCCTACCACGACTACGCCGAGCTCCAGAGCTTCCAGAGTGACTTCAGCTATGACAACCTGTGGGAAGCTGAGGAGAAGGAGCTGGACACCCCTCACACCTCCCCAGCTCCCAGCCAGCAGTTTTACCAGGCCTGAGGGAAAGCTTCCACAACCAGGCATAGAAAAGCCCCCGGGCTCTTTTCTCACTGGGTTTTCCTCCAGGGTGAGGAGCTTGGGGTGTACAAAGCAAAGGGAAGGGCCCTGCTGGTTCCCATGTCCTGGCAGGTCCAGAGCTCAAGCTTCTCTGAATCTGAGGATGGGGCAAAGCACAAAAGCATCATCCTCTGCAGTGTGTGTGCTAAAGGGTATGCTCTGTGGCTGCTCCAGCTTAGGGAGCTCTGGCTAGGAAACAGCTTTGTCCCCTTGAAAATGAAAGGAAGAACAAAAAGCTGGTCAGGTTCCCTTAGATACAAAGGTGTTCATGTAGAGCAGTCACTCCAAGGCCAAAGAAGAGGGCTGGCTAGTGGCTGGGTTAGTTTGATCTTTATTACCAGTGACCTCAGGCCGGTCACTTTGAGGATCCATTGATCCCTGAGAATAGCTGTTAAACCAACCCTTCCTCCACTGAGCTCTGAAGTCTTCGAAGATGCATAAGACATGCCCCATCAGGGTATATAAGGTTGGTAGCAATAGCTGTGCTCATAGGATTGTCTTCCTGCAAGGTCAGAGTTAACTGGCAAGAGATGGAGAAGGGAAATCCAGACCTGGGCAGAATGGGACTTCCTTTCCACTTCATGCAGAAAGTTCTTTCCTGCCAGTGCTGGCTCCAGACCATGGTGGTGACCTGCAATATTACGAGGTGGAATCAAGAACTGTGCTGCCAAGTGGCTTATGTGGATAAGGATGCCCTGGATTCCTCTTATGGGATGGCATCCTTTCCTCCCACCCCTCTGCACATCGCTGGGCTCGCACTAAATGCTGCCTATGAGCATCTAGGGAGAAAGGGAAGGAGGAAAATTCACTACAGCCATAACTCTCCAGTGATCTGAGCAATGCCACTGTGGCTGTAACCTCCTTCTTCCCCCTTCCAGAGCAGCGGCAGGACCAGGACACAAACAACAGGGGACAGAGTCTCAGTGCTATCATTTTCCAGCCTCTTAGGCCAGATCCTTTAACACATAAAAGGTCAGCAGCAAATCCCAATGTTTTTACCTGAGGCTCCAAATTCTTAACCTTTGTTCCCTAAAGAGGCTGCAAACCAAACAGATTACCAAAACCTCTGGTTTTGTTCTTGCACTGGTGCAAGCAAAACAATCCAGGAGCTCTTTGTACTTGAATATCTATGTATTACATTATACTTCTCTTCAGAAGGTACCCAACAAAGTTTACATGCAAGGTTTGAGTGGATTATATGTATTTAACGTGTAAATGTGGCCTAGTTGAAGATGTATTTAATAATTGTCTAGCTGTGGATGACGTTCAGTCCTGTAGAATGGGCGGCTGTCTGCACGTTCGTGTGTGTGTTGGTTTGGGTCTTCTAGCTGTTTTGTTTCAGGTTTGCTTTCGTATTGGGAAGTTTTGTATCTAATAACCCCCAAAAGATCTATTTATTCAGGACAGAACAGCACGAGGGATCATCAAAAGCACATAGAATGCTGGGAGGCAGCAGTGCTCATGAGCTCCTATGAACACATTGGCTTTGAAGATGGTCACCATGATCTTAATTGGGTTTCTGCAACGTATCAAAAGGGGAAAGCCCCTCCCAATTGATGTGATAGTTCCCTGGTGGGTTTCTGTGGGACTGGACAATTGCAATACACATTCTTCTGGAATACTTTGCTTCCCTCTTTCTTTGCCATCATCTGGTTTAATGGAGGTGGTTCTTTGTCTGTTCCAAAGCCCTTCACCCCTTGAGGACTCCGGGGCCCTGTGTCCGAGGAGGATGATTGTCTCTGGCTCGGGCCAGGCACTTGTAAACACCTTATCCTGGAGCAAAGTCTCCCCGGTGTTTGTCAGGCAATGAGACCTGCCTGGAGGTCTAATGCTAAAGCCACTTGGACTTTGCTTCAGCCCTGGGTTCTGGGGTGCTCTGTAAAACCCACTGGTGACTCCAAGTCTACCCGGGTGTGAACACTTGCAGAGCCGGCGACTCCAGCCCTGCCCTGGGCAGCCTGTTCCAATGCCTGAGCACCCTCTGGGCAAGGAATTGTTCCTCAGCTCCACCTAAACCTGCCCTGGGGCAGCTTGAGGCCGTTTCCTCTTGTCCCATCCCTTGTTCCTTGGGAGCAGAGACCAGCCCCCTCCTGGCTCCATCCTCCTGTCAGGCAGTTGGAGAGAGCCATAAGGTCCCCCCCACTCTCCCTGACCCAAGCATGGCGGCCGAGCCCTGGCTCTGAGCAGACACCACCTCATGGCCGCCGGGGCGGCTGCTCTGTGCCCGTGGCAGCGCTGAGGCAGCTCCCCTCAGAGGAGGAGGCGGGAAACGCTGCGAAGGAGGAGGGGTAGCGGCTCCCTCA